TACTCTCTCTCTCTCTCTCTCTCTCTCTCTCTCTCTCTCTCTCTCTCTCTCTCTAAATTCTTTTACTCCAAAATAAAATATAATTATAAAAACCGGAACAATGAGTATTGTGTTGAACAACGCAAATCAAAAGATGAAGTGTCATGTTTTAGCATAATGACGTCATATCAATAACATTAATTTGAATTGAAATCGGCTTATTGCAATGATACGTGCGATGGTAACTGGTTGTACGAGACTTGTAATTGTATCGAATAATTCATTATCATACTGCGGAATGCAAATGTCTCTTAATGCGAGCGTAGGAACAGTAGACCTTTTTCTCGTCTTTAGTCTCGCGGCGTGCTTCCATCACGGTGCAGGCGATCGGCAAATAATCGAGAAGCTAAGCGACGGGAAAATTGCGATCGGAGGGTGACCAATCGCCCGTGAAAATTGAAAAACTATTTCGATCTATAGCGCTCGCATGCAAAAGGGATATCGAGTTTGCCGTTACGTACCCAACCCAATCTCCGCGATTGAGTGTCTTTTGAGTCTGCGACGTTACGAGATAAAATATCCGATTTTATAGGATTGTATATCCAATTATTGTATAAAGTGATCAACGACGAATAATAGCCAGGCTATTAGGTTTATTCCACTTTCCTCGCATGCAACTCTACACGTAATACGAACGATTCAAAGTCTCTGTTGTACAATCTAATCAATGTAATATTTATATCTATCGAGCATTATCTCTGAAACGCGCTATTGCGTCACGGCATAATAACATCCACAACGAGCATACATAATTAATAACGATAGTGAGTGATATCATAGACGTGATCATAGAAACGCCATTTGTGCTATATACATTAATAAATGAAATGATATCCGGATATTATTACACAATTTAAAGATGTCCAAAGTATTCTAAGTGCAGAGGGGAAGGGGAAAGGACGCGGAACAAAGAGCTCTTCCGCGGAGCAGCTGCGTGATGTGTCGACCCTCGGAAGTGGGCCTTTTTTCAGACATTTTGGTCAGGTAAGATTTGCATACTGGTCACACAAGGTCGACATTACAATCACATTACAACCACATATGCTCGAACGAAACGTACACGTGGAATTCCACGCGCGTCCGCGATCAGATTTAGTTTTGTATCTGAACGTCCTTCAAAAGAGTCGGGCAATTACTCGACGAGAGAAATAATGAATTGTCTGACGTGCGCAATTCAATGTCACGTTCGTAACATACGCCATCATAAAAGTAGTAATTATAATCATCAGGATGTATTCTTAATCCGCCGTGAGCTTGAGAAATATACACTTCCGTGTATTGATTACTTTGTGAACACGTACGAACACAAATTAATAAATATATTAAATTTAAATAAACCTTGAAATTTTTTTCGTAACTCACGAATTTGCCATTGACATCAAATATTTTTAAATTTCGGATAAATTCCTGGAATTTAAATCAAAATTCCAGGATTATCTTGTATATATATATATATATATATGTATATGTATATATATATATATATACAGGATTATCTTAGTATATTATTATTATTTTATTACATATATATATTTTTCTCATGTATTATTTTTATATATATTCACAAATATTGTTATTTTTCATATTATATTTAATAATTATTATATATTATATTTTTGATGTATTAATCATATTAATAGCATAAGTTCTCAAGATAAGTAGTTGAGAAGTTACTCAGCTTAAGTCAAATCAAATAGCATTTTTCGAATAATTCAGATGTAAATGCGGGGTTTATGATCGGAAACGATCGAATCTTATGCCTGCTGGAAAATCACGCTCGCCAGCCGATCCCAGACGTAGCGTTTCGTATTTGTGTCATGTCGCGTAGTACATCCGTTTACCCGCAACCGTAATTTAATATCCCCTCGATCGCGGATCGTGCGATCGAGCGACTTGATGCGCGAATTAATTAAATTCCAGCCGCGCGCTCGGAAAGCCTTCGGCTCGTTTCGCGTAATCGCGCGTTTCGTCTCATTAACATGATCGTCAAATTATCTAAATTCGGATGCCCCTCTTTAATCTAGAGGATGCCGCCTAGTATCTTCCGAAATGTATTTTCGCCCTTCTATAACATATGTATCTTGAAAAATTCTAAACAATTTTTTATCTAAAAACCAACTTTTTATGATTATATTATTAATATTATTAATATTTATATTTATATTTTTTTTTATAGATTTTATCCTACCGCGTGACAGAAGTTTTTTGTTATATTTAAATTAAATTTTACGTCATCGTGTATTCTTAATTATATCCTTAGTTATTTACGTTGATTAACATCGATTGATTAGACCGACATGTAATTTTCCACAATAATGTAGATTTTATAGTGCCTTATTTATATGCTCGATCGTTGATGTTCGTTATCTTATTTATACTTCCACAATATTTCTACTATAATTACGGTTACCATATTACAATTTTCAAAACTACGACTGACAAGCCAAAAACCCCGGACATTTCGGTTGCAATCCCGGACAAAAATGCGCTTAAATTAATAAAATTGATTAGAACAGTAAATAAATCATTATTTAACATTTAATTGTTTATTAGCATTCAGAGCAAAGAGAAATTTCAACTGAATACTAAATAAATACAGACTATTTTGATAAAATAAAAAGTTTTATTATAGATTTAGTTTAAGTTTTATTAGGTATTAAAATTAAAAAATTTTAACTTTTTTATGTGATATCTATGCTATTTGGTAATGCAGAGTAATGCGAGAGGAATCAAAACAAAATATTTAGAAGATTTCTTGAAACCCTCTCCGGACGCTTTCAAAAAATCCCCC